GGGAGTCATTCAGTGCAAAGGCAGGGAAACACTAAAGGCTAAAAATACCACTGCTGGAATTGTGAAACTTCCTTTGTAAGGCATCCAAGTTAATCGGAGGTTGAAAGTAGGGTCGCACCCTGTAGAGGAGGACAGCAGCGGCTGGGAAAGCAGCTGAGAAGATGGTGAGCCTGCAGCCCTTGGGAAGGGAACCTGCACTGGTTCCTCTCGGGTCAGTCATCTAGCGTATCTTTGAACTGAGCCGAAGGTCTTAGTTTGTCATCCCAAGACCTTTTACTGCTCTCTTGATCCCATTCTCCAAATTACAGGACTTGGAGAGTAGATTGAGGAGTTGAATGAGTCAGATGCCCAGCCTGCACGGGTTGCCCCAAGTTACTCCAGGTGAAAGTTTGGTCCAGTGCAATGGAAGTAACTCATTATAGACATCAAAAAATCAGGAAGGAAGTAAACAGAAAAATGGGAAACAACTTCCAGTATAAAAGCTGCTCGTTTTACATCAGTCCCTTGAGTATTCTCTGGTTTTGTGATACTGAATATATTCTAGGACTGTGAGGAGCAAAGGGGAATGCTGAACATGGACCAACGTTGCTAGAGGTAGACTTTTGCCTTTGGCTTTCGGTATTGGTGTCATTTATCCGGGATAAAACTGTTTGCTGAACAAATTATTGTCTCCAGACATAAGCTGAGGCGACAGGATCTTGGCCGGATGGACGGATCCGTGTTTGTTTGTTTGTTCCTCTGGGTGGAAGCCGGTCCTGCCCTGCAACACGTATGCAGCCTTATTGCTTTAACATCTTGGAATAAATAGTCTGAAATGAGCACTAACCCCTTGTAAACAACAACCTTGTGGTCCTCGCAAATCTCCTGTAAAAAGACAGCTCAAGAGGGTTGGATGCATTCCTCAAAGTTGGTTTATTGTGAAAGATGTGCTTCTGAGTGAAGGTCTCACCCCTGAAAAGCAAGTGGCATTTTGTCTCTGTTTCAGAGCAGCATACAGAGTTCGTTTATCTCCTATTTAAGAGATTAAATACATGTATAATTCTCTGCAGGACTGGGACAGGAGATTGCATGCTGCTTCAGGCTACAAGCCGTTCGATGGTACTGACAGCACCTAGCAAGGTGAGGTCCCTTTCCTCATTGGGGATGTCTAAATGCTGTCCCCATGTGCATTTCCAGTAACGCCTCAGCTGTGTGCTGAAATGCTTTGACCTATGCCTATAAAAAAAGTTTATAAAGACTCTCCCACAGCACTGCCTCGGGCTTGGATGTCCAAGGTCCAGCTCCACAGTCCCCTGACTGTGTCCTGCCTGGATTGTGACCAGAGTGGTGGCCCCAGCTAAGGAGATGGAAACTCCTTCCTTTGGGCATTCTGTGGTTTTTGGGATGCCTCAAGTGGCCAAGGGGCCACACACCACCCAGAAAGGGCACCCCGAAGCACAGAGTCAAACAGAAAGTATCTCTGTTGGTCCAGGGAGAGCAAGCATCTTCCAGCCTCATTTCTTGAAGGATTTTTCTCCACGAATTGGCTTCTGCCATGCGAGGCGGTAGGCGTTGGTTTCCCAGCTGGATTCTTCATCTTTCTACCTGTCCGTTTTATATTTTATAAACCTATATAAGGATCATTTTACAACTTCACTTTTATAATCTGCCCCATAAATATTTTACGAGCTGCCTGCCAATCTGCAAGTAGTTTTTAAATAAGACATGATGCCTTAAGAATATTTAAAGTCTCACTTTTTTTTTCCTCTGATACTTTTATTGAAAAACACAGAGCTGTGCAAGGAAGACATCTGCTTTCTAGATATAGAAACTGGGACAAATCCACAACAAGAGTAAATTAGTTGAGATTCAGGTGTGCTGCTGGATTACGTTAACTCTTTGGCTGAGTGTCTCCAGCTCAGTGGGAGACGAAGCTAGCGTCAGGATCTTTACGCATATGTGATATAGAAAAGATATAGAAAATCTATGGTTTGTACAATGACAATACGCTAGAGAATGAGTCTTCCATCAGGAAACTTTTGACTTGCAGCTTTTCCAATAAATATTAAGAGCAAATGCACATGCAGAAGTGGATTATTTCACAAACAAATGGGGGCTTTTTCTTCCCCCCAAATATATTGCAAAGCTACAATATTTAGATACTTTTATCTTCCCGTAAGATTCACAAAGTGAATCAGGACTGTTACCCTGAAATAGCAGATTTTTATGGGATTTAGTTGAGGAAGAAAGGAGAAAAAACTGCTTTTGTGTGTTATTTAAAGCATCTGAAGGTCAAGAAGGGAAGAAGCGTGGTTTAGCCACAGTCAGCATGTACCTGGCTTGTTTCTCTGGGTGGTTTAAGAAAGCGAGCGTGCGAAGGGCACAAGTGATTGCAGGTTTTCCCGCAAGCTTTGTTAGTGACGCCCAACTGTTGCGTGAGAGTCAGTCCACTAGCTGCTGTTTCACTTTGGTGTGACTTGTCGAGGCTTGTTTTAATGATGCTCTGGGGGTCCCAGAGCCTGATTTCGTATGCTAATGTGACGTGCTGCTGTATGTGTTACCCAGCTCAAGAGAGGGGTTTGCACTGGCCCTTTGAGTGTCTCCCTGGGCAGTAAAACATGGACCGTTGTGCATCAAGGTGTGCTTGGATCACTGGATGCAAGCGATGGCATGTTTCTCATTTCTCTTTCCTCCTTCTTTATGGTCAAAGAATCAGGACACATGGGAAGTAAAAAGGATAATGTTAGAAAAGCTTAAGTGAAGGATAATGTTAGAAAAGTGAAGTACTCCAAACCTGGAGATGAGGGTGTTTGCTCTAAAAGGCAAACAGAAGAAATCTTGTACGTGTGCATTTGGTAGAACCATGAATTGAATTATATGCCTCAATCCAGAAAATTACTCTGCAGAAAACTGATGTAACTTTTGGCAACTTGCAGAAGAAAAAATTGGGGTTGCCAGAAGTGGGAATTGATACTGATACTCATATCTCTAGTTTATGTACTTAAGGGGGGAGGCAGTATGATGAAGAAGAAGAATCTATTTTCACCCCAGGATTGTGAACTGCAAAACATGCTTTGAAATGACCCTTACTCCCAGGGTCGTCATGTACACCTCGTGCTTAGTTTTTGAGTTAATTAGGCAGGACCCCATCTCGGGGAAATGGTACTGCTGCTGGAGCCAGGCGTCGAGCACCGACACACATAACTGAGCTGTATCTCCGGGCACCTCATTGCCGCTCCCGTGGGTTTTGCATTTTGAGCGTGATGGTCTCAGCTTGGTTGCTGCCGCTGAAATCGCGCCCTGCATGGATAGCCTGGCCGTTTATCAGGTGCAACCCGTTTATTGGCCCTGCTGCCTGTGCCCCCAGACCGCCTGTCAGCCTTCCCCCTCGTCTTCTGCACCTTGTCTCGATCCGTTCCCCTCAGCTTGCACAACCTTTGCAGTCTGTTTTTTCCTCCTCTCCCCTTGGCACAGGTCTGCCCTTCTCCCCAAGGTAAGCTTGCGTGCCTGCTCCCCTTCCCAAGAGTAACCTCGGGAGCTCGCGCTGCTTTTCCCCTCCTGGGCCCTCCAGCGTCCAGCTCTGCTGGGGCCAGCTCAGCGGCAGCGCGTGCGTCCCGTCGTATTGGGGCTTTTGTTTGTAATCGTGATCGTTGCACAAAGCCGGTGCCAAAATCCTGTAGCCAAAAGGCTGCTTGGCCCTTTGCAACCAGGCAGACAGCAGTTCCCTATAATAGGACTTCATGCTGAGGGCATGTTTCATGCAGATGCCTGTTACTGCCTCCTCCTAATTGCAGTTTTGTTTCTGTTAATCGTATGCTCCTCCTTGCTGTGAGTGATGCTGGAGTGCTTGCATCTCCCTATCTCAAAAATCATGGGCAATGGAAGAGAAGACTCCCAAGTTTCTCAGCTTTAAGTGGCTCCTTGGTGACCTGAGGCTTTCTCTGCGGTGTGCCAGCTAGCGATCCCGCTGCGCGCTGGCTGGCTTGCAGGTGTCCATTGCAGGTTTTTCACTCTATCAAGCAGGGTCCCTCTGTCTCATGTCCATGTGGTTTGCTTTAAGGATGATCCAGTTCCTCTATCTCCAGTTACCATATCAGGTCCTTGGAAAGACTGGTATATCATCATACATACCTCATCCCGTATTTTTAAACATGTATATATGTATGTATATAGCAGTTCTCCTTGCCTACGCAGTTACCTTGTAGCTTCCCAAGTGGTTGTCTAAGTGAAGTAGGTATCAGAAGTGCCACCAAAGCAGCCAGTTAATGCCAATGCGATAACATCACCTAGAGAAGAGTCCTTGCGCTGCCTAGTTCTAACATGGGCGCAAGATAGGTCAGGAAGCGACTGTGTCCCACCTTCCATTTTTATTGCCGCTGGGCGGGGGCGATTGCATGAATGGCAGCTCCCCTGGGTGAAGACAGGAGATGTGTGGGAAACCCCATCAGAGCCAGGAATGTGTAGGAGACCCTTGAAGGCAGTGAGGCAACAGGTTTTGAGGGTTTTTTAACCCATCATTTTGCACGTGTATAAGGTGTTAACGTTTGCACAAGGCTAAAGTATCAAAATTTAAAGTTCTGTGCAAACGCCTGGTGGATAAGAGGGAGCATGCAATGCATACAGCTTGCTGCCTGCAAAAGCTCTGCGATCCAGGAGATCTTGCTTCTGCGATTCTAATGTTTCATTCCCATTCCCCTCCCATCATCCTTCCCATTCTTGCTTTTTTCTCTTCTTAATAATAGCTAAATTACATGTATGATAGAGCAGTTTTTCAGAAGCACCTGTGGGATTTGGAAGTACAAGTCGAATTGAAAATCGGTGGGCCTTGGGCCCTGAATCCCGTTAGGGAAATTGCAAGTGGTTTGATAAGCTAAAACTGGGACAGGAGCAATACAGCTGCAAGAGAGGTTGGATTCGTTGCTGCTCTAGGTTTTTGTGTCTTGTGTGATTTGAGGTAAAGAGCCAGGTTCTGCCATACCAGAGACAGAAATGCTCTCGCTCTTCTTCTTTTTTTTCCCCAGGCGATGTGGCTATAGCAAGGCTAAACAAGATCCAGAAGAAGAAAAGATGCATTTTCATAACGGCCACAGTGAGTAAAGATCGAATGTGTATATATGTGGTCTTGGCTCTTTGTGGTAACGAGAAGTACAAGAGAGAGAGTTTTAAAAAAAAACAGTTCTGGTTTTGCTGGTATTTCACAGAAGAATTCAGTTTGTTCTGTTGTTCAGTAAGTCCCCACCTGCCCTTGCTCCAAGCCCGATGGCGAACTGAATGTTTGAACAGTCTTTATATGTTCCCAGCTCTACACACCTGTACGTTTGCAGCAGATCTCTCTAGCAAGACATTTTGTTCTATCCCTCTGTCTTTGCTGTGTGACCCAAGGTGCTATTAATTTTGCCTGGACGGCACATAACAACTCTACGTTTTTGTGGTCTGGACACATCGGTCCAGAACACTGAAACCCTTGCCCCACCCCAGCCAGCAGTGAGGACGAATCCCACAGCTACTCTTTGCCTTGGATGCCTCTGCAGAGGTGTGAGGAATAATGCCTGCTTCTTGCTCCTAGGAAGCTTTCTGAAATGCTGCGTTAATGCTCTTTTATACAAAAAACCTCTGCGGTGATGCTAGAAAATACTTCTCATGGTCAGATGATCAGTCCTTCCTTACACCCGAAGCCAGTGTTTGAAAAGCCTTCCTTCATCAAGTGCTGTGGGATCTGGGTATGGGTAACGAGGTGCCTTTTGGGGTGGAAAAGGCAAACGCATCGTGAGTGAAAGTCAAATTTCCATTAGTGCTATGTAATGAAGGCAGCAGGAAGCAAATCAATTAAGAGCCATAGTGTAACGAGGCTGTCTTATTAGACTGATGAGCAGTTCTTCATGTGAGTAGCCTTAATGATTGTCAAAACAAACTTATAATATGGATAATGAAAATACTTTTTCCCCTTTCAAGTCTTGGAGAAAAAGCCTGCTATTGATTTTATATATACTGGTGCAACCCACAGGCTTTGTACTGCAAATATTCCGTTCATTTAAATCTCAGTAACTCCATCTGAAAAAATGTGGCCGATTGATTAGCTAATATGTGACTAGTAGGGCATAATTTATTGCAGCTCTCCATCAACCCGCATCCATCCAACTTGCTTTGCAACTTGTTCCCTTAATATTTTGCTTTCTGTACTTTTCCTCCTGGCATACCCTTTCCAGATCCAGAAAGGGATCCTTTTGCACCAGACCTTGGACCAGCCCATTACGCAGCACCGACGGAGATTTTTAGCTGCGCGTCGTTCCAGCTGAGCACTGTCGTGTGCTTTTCTAAATACAGTGAAGATGCACAGACGTCTTGTATAAACTAAACGTCGTTTTCCAAGAATGCTATTCTTTTTTCCTGTAGAAATAGGTTTCCCTGCTGCAATGTTTCCCAGAAAAGCAGAGCGCGAAGGACAGGAGTGGGTATTGCCCATCATCTGTGATGCCATGTGCCAGTAACGCTCTTAATTTGTGCTTGCAGTTAAGCTGCCTGGAGTAAGGACCTACATTGACCCCCACACCTATGAGGACCCTAATCAAGCTGTCCATGAGTTTGCTAAGGAAATCGAAGCTTCATGCATAACCATTGAAAGAGTTATCGGAGCTGGTACGGGAATGCATTTCATGATACTTAGCAGCACGGAGGGTTGGTTTTCTTAACATGAGAGAGCTGGGAAGGGCATGAAATGTTTGTGCTGTTAGGTACCCTGCAAGTGATGGGGACCATGTTTCAGCTGAAGTTTGGGACAAACCTGTCATTGTCTGCAGTTTTGAAATTCAGAGACTGAACTGAAAACAGCAGAAAATGGTCATGTTTGGACCCAGCTGAGTTACTACAATGGATGCTAAGGGAAAGGAGTCACTTCATTTCAGGTTCTTTTCACCATTTTAAGCTTTTTCTCCTCCCTTGCTAAGGTCGGTCTCAAAGCAAAAATAATAAGAATAAGAAGTCATCTGGTCATATATATAAGATGATAAGTCATCTTATAAGAACAAGAAGTCATCAAAAAACCACACAAACCAAAGTCCAAAGCTTTTAGCTTCCTTGGTTAAAAGAAGAAACTCCCATTTTCTTTCCAGTTGATCTGTTTGTTTGGACTTGCATCCAACCTTAGGATACATTTTCTATCCTCTGAAATTGTGTTTTTGAGGTAATTTACTGTTGACCAGAAAAAAAAAGAAGAAAACAATGCATTTGGGTTACTTTTTTTAAAAAGGTGGTCATAAAATCGGAAAGGGTTTATAGTCTATAAAAATATATGTTGCTGTGAAAGGCTAACAGCATTCCATCTATTTAAATTACCAAAGGAAGGTTAAGAAGCAAGTGGCTTGTGTTTTACAGCTATCTACACAGGGCAATGATATAGAATGTGACAGGACTCACTCATCTAGTAGACAAAAACATGAAATGAGACAAAAGCCCAATGGAACATAGAGCATAGCTCTTTAAATATTGGAAAATTGCATTTTTCTTCCCAGTTTTCTTGTGCTTATGAATTGCTTGGCTTCTTGTATGCCAGGTATTTGAGATGGTGGTCACTGTTTAGCTTTCCACACCCACGAATGCAGGACAGCCCTGCATGCTTTTGAGCAGCTACCTACAGGGGCTGGGCTGAATGCTGTAGATCAATACACGCTGTGTGTTCCTTTGACGTGCTGTGATCCTGTTCTTTCTGATTTTTCTCTGAAGGTGAATTTGGAGAAGTCTGCAGTGGGCGGCTGAAGCTGCAGGGAAAACGTGAGTTTCCAGTTGCTATCAAAACCCTGAAGGTGGGCTACACAGAGAAACAGAGACGAGATTTCTTGGGAGAAGCCAGCATCATGGGGCAGTTTGACCACCCCAACATCATCCACCTGGAAGGCGTTGTCACAAAAAGTAGGTGCAATTTGCTGTGGACTGCTGTCCTTGAACTCTGGCCGATGGGAGAATTGGTTAGGGGAGGAAGACTTGGGTAACTCGCGTTTTGACTGCGCCTTTCATAATTTCTCAAAAAACAGTGAACTCCCCTTGCCCAAACTGCCACCCTTTGTAGGTCCAGCCAGGAAGAGGTTCCCCAACATTGTAAAGGCTGTTTATGCCCAAAGTATTTTAGCGTTCTTCCAGCTAGAATGGATAGGTAATGGCTAAAGTGATAAAAAGCGTTAACTCCCTCTGGAAATCTTGCCTCACCTAGGCATGGGCTAGGAGAAAACACTTCAAAGGCCCAAAATTAAATGAGATGGGAATAGGAGATGATATGCCTGGTCAACCTCAGGGAGTGGGTGGGTGATGGAGACAGCAGTAAGCCAGGGACATCGGAATGCTGGTGGAGCGTGCTGCCTGACTTCTGCCTTGCGGGTAGTTCAGCAGCACCGACCACCTGCAAAATGCAAGAGCGTTTTGAACGCAGTGATGCTGAGACACCCGCTAAATTTTGCGAGCAGGCTCACTTCTGATTCCTACCTTTATTTGTTTGCTTTTGAAACCACATGAGTCCCAGGGTGAGCAAAGATGTGCCAAGAAGTGGGAAGCGATTTCCCTGGCAGGGAAACGGGGAGGATTTTACCACCAAGAATCTGGAAAAAAAACCAAAACCCACAACCCCTGATGATTTCCAGCCATCGTATTTTGAGAAACCACTGAAGCAAAGCCCACAGGAGGGTAGTGCTGAGCCTTGTGATCACTCACACGGGATGTGAGCAAGGACAGAAGTTAGCTGAAGTTTTGCTTTCCAGAAGCAGGGAAGAAGAACGGGAGTGTAGCTGCAGACAACAGGACTGTGTAAAACCATGATTAAGCCAAGCTCCTTCCGGGATCTGGTAATGATGCCTGTGGTAATAGTTGGCCCTGGTGCTGGCATATAGTTTATGAGAGGAGTTGAGGGCTTGGGGAAAATGTGAAATGGCTGGCAAAACATCCCAGCACGAGAGTTACTGAGGTCTGACTGCTCAGAGAGCAACATAACCTTCCATAACTTTCCCAGCCCAGCTCTTCTCCAAATGACCGTGTACACTAAAGATAAGGTCAGAGGAAGGGACAGCACATCTGAGTGTGCCCAGCCCAAGCCTCTCAGCTGCTGGTGCTGTGCTGAGGCTGTGGGAAAGGTGCAGAGGTGGTGTTACTCTTCAATTTTAAAGCCTTGGAGAATCTACTTTATTTGCATCAAGGATTTTTTTTGTTGAAAACAACTACACTTTTCAGTCTTTCACGAAGTTTTTGCTAGCTGAAGAAGCACCAGCCTCACAAGTGTGCATGGCTGTCTCCCTTCTTGTCTTCATGACTGATAATGTCAGAGCTTAGCTACCACTGTTCAAATGCTGGCGTTTGGGGCCATGTGGCTGCTGTTAGTACCATTTGTCATTTGTCACAGGCAGCATCTCCAAAATCAGTTCTTTTTCAGAGCTGCTGTAGAGAAGGTACAGAAACACTAGCTGTTTGTCTGTTCATATCCTTATAACCTACTCAAAATCAATGCTGTAATCTTGCAATCAACAGCCTTTTCTTGCATTTTTCCTTGAAATTGCATTTTCTAAAACTTTTTAAGAAAAGAAAAAAAATAACCAAGACAGATTTCTCCCAAAAATTGAATAAATATCAAAATCTCTTGGGGTCACCTTGTGTAGCCCTTAATACATAAAAGCTCCCATTTCTAGCCCTGCCAGGGGTGTGGGATATTGGACAGGAAGGGAGTGACTATTATACATTCATAAAAGCTGCTGCTGACATGGGCTTGAGTCTTTCTGGCTGCTGAGGCCTCAGGGGATGGGTGGGAATCCCACTTGTAGAGACGACGTGCCTCCCTAGCGAGCTGCCTTTTATATAAAGTGGCCATCTGCTCAAAGGCCGTGGAAACACTAGGAGCATTTCTTCTAAATTGGACTTGGAGCGACTGGAGTTTGGATGCAGGGGGGTACGTGAACCCTGAGCTCCTCATTAGCTCAGTAAATGCTTGTTTATCGCACTCAAAATTTTTTCCATTGGGCATTTGGATCATCTTTCCAGCTTTTTATTTTCTTCTAAATGGACCAAACCAACCTTTATGAATCCCAAAATATGCTGCTATCTCAAAGTATTGTTTAACTTCTTTTTCCCTTCAGTGTTTTAGTCATTGGGCTATTGTAGATTCAGACCTTTAGGGTAAAATATCTTTTCTGCATCATGACTTACTTTGGAAGTAAATTAAGCTAAATTGAATTAGGCCATTTTTAATTCTGAGTGAGAATATCCACGCAGGGGTTTAATACCATTTAACTAATCTAGTTCAAATGCACACCTTAGTTAATTTGGATTAATTGTTTTTATTGTCCCCATACGGACAAGCCCTTAGCTATGTCTGCTTTACAAAGGTAATGACGGTCCTGTTTTCATTTGCATGCCATTTGGTTGCGCTGATGGTTTGCATATTACATTAGTACGTTGATATGAATGACATCTACACACATTTTATGGCCCTGTAACGCCAGCGGCAAGGAGCCCTGCTGACATGGAGAATCAGCCCAGTGCTTTAGAAGGGTCAGTGTTTACTTTTAAGTTATTTTGTTGGAAGTTACTCTATTTGTGTCTTTACTTCCATGATCTTGGATACAGGGCTAATTTATTCCATGATTACTGTCAACCTGCAGCAGTCAGATAACGAAACATAACTGCCAGAAATCTTATTTTCTTTTCTCCAATGGCAACTAAAGGCAGAGTCTGAAGGAGGTCCCTCAGGGTGGTAGTGTAACAAGACACCAGTCTTACTGCAACACATGCCTTGAGGTGTCAGAGATAAGGGACGCCAGTCAGGGGTTTAGTGTTCAAAACCAAAAAATTCCAAAAAAAAGTAGATATACCTGAGGTTTTCCTTCCCTACGTAGCCACTGATGTGTTTGCCAACCTATAGCAACGTCACCCAAGATCTCTCCCTCCTGCACACAGCCAATGTTATGCGTAGACAGACAGCTGTCATCCTTGAAGATGAGGCCTGTTATTTTGTTTGGGGCTCAATGATATTTTTCATGGCCCGGAGGTACATTTCTCCTATCAAAAGTAATACCTTTCACAAGCTTCAAACTCAGGCAGTAGCTGTGATATTAACTTAAAAGAATTGAAGCAGCACGGGCCCCTCACACTGAAAAGGTACTATCTGCACAACAATGAGTGTTTTGATTGACAGGTTCACAATTACCTTTATTATGTAGATAATTAAGCAGTAAATTAGGCAAATAGCTAAGGTAACGGGCAAGTGGGAAGAATAAGACCAATCTAAATGGTACAACATGCGCTGATTTTTAGGAGCATTTACCTTCTTGCGCATGTTATGACACGCGACAGCTCTCGTTGATCATTTCTATGAAAGACATTTATAATGCACTTTACAAATAATTGACAGCTCCTCTTTTGTCTGTGCTTCATGCTAGCTAATGGAAATTGATTTAAATAAAAAATAATTTACATGTTCTTATAAGATTTCATTGAATTTACAAGGGCTGGAGCACACCACATTAATTATTGCTATGTCATTGTGGCAAGCTAGCGAGAAATTAGATATAAAAACTGAGCAAAAACTATGTATAATTACCATTAAAATGACTCGGGCATGAAAATTAATCAAATGGATTTGGAAAAACATTATTTTTCCTGTCAACAATAGCAGACCAGGTCTTTTGTTAAGAACTTTTATTTTGATTTCCACTTGCACTCATTCCATACTTAACTCGCTTTTGTTCTGCAGCATAAATATTTCTCTTCTCTTACTTCCAGATGTGTTTACAAAGGTAGTCGTATGAGATTACTTGAATTACAAGGGATGTAATCCCACCCTTTCCTGTCTTGGTTTTGGTGGCTACCAAGCTCAGATAGATACTTCAGATCATCCTGGTTGCTCCTGTTGAGCTCCCATTGTTACTCCAGGGTGTTGAAGCTATAGGGAAGAGTCCAAAGAGGTCGCCCGGTGCAATTTGGCCTCTGCAAACTTCCAGCTTATTCACCGAGATGAGGAGAAGGTTGTGCATAGGCTGCCCGGGTTCAGCTTCCAACTCCTCCTCCTCCAACCTCATCTAAACACTCTGAGTCTTAGAGTGTTTATCCCACCCATAATATGGGATTACTTTTTCGTCCCCTCGTCCTCAATTCCCCTGTTTCTTCATATATTCTGGAAAAAACTATTGTCATCCTGATGGGGCGGCAGTGTGTCGGTGTAGATTTACTGTTGCATGGCTGTATGTTCACATTCAGACGTATTATGAAAAGACTTTATTATCATTCATGTTTTATAAATAAATTGCTAACAAACTCATGCACTTTTTTTTCCAGGCAAGCCAGTAATGATAGTGACTGAATACATGGAGAACGGTTCTCTGGACACATTTTTAAAGGTAATGCTTAGATCCTTTTTCCAGGGGGACCTTGGTTAAAATTTGGGTTCTTTGCAGATGGTTAATGTCAGTGAAAATGTTTGCTGGGTGCTGGTCCAGCTGTTGTTGCTGTCTGGAGGCAGGAATAGCTCAGCTGTCTGTTTGATCTATATTTACACAGCATCATGAAGGACCTGGTTTGTGCATTGATACAAACAGATAAGAATAAATTGGAGTATATTATGTTTATTTTAGAAAGCAGTCTGCTGCATGGAAATGATTAACTTATCCTGCAAAATTATATGTGTTTCAAGAGCACATCCACAGTGCATCATGGCAAACCCCAGACTTGTCAGAGTTTTTCCATGAAATGTAAAAGCTGGAGAAGGGAGGGTAGGGGAAGCAGTTAGAAATGCAGTGTGGCCACATGGGGAAGAGTCCCTACCCCCAGGTATTCACACGTGGACCTCTGCAGGTAGCATTTCCAGGAATTTGGTGCCATTCAGTTGGCTGACTCGGAGAGAGCCCACCCTGGTGCCTTCATACACATAACTACACGTGTTCACTCCTAGTTGCAGTGTCTTTACCAGTCGCCAGTGGAAATAGCTCTCTCCTTGATCTCCAGTTAAGAACTACATTTCCTTAGCTTTGTCTCTAGAGATCCTAATCCAAACAGCGAAATTTTGAAAAGCTTCCTGGTCAGAGCATGAGAGTAATGAATTATTAATTTCCCTGGTTTTCTTCCCTGGAGACTTGCCCTAGCATTTTTTTTCATGCACATGCAATGTTAAGGGTGCAGAGACTCTCAGCTGATCAAATGTCTCCTTCCTTTTGCAGAAGAACGATGGGCAGTTCACGGTCATTCAGCTGGTTGGGATGCTGCGAGGCATCGCATCAGGAATGAAGTACCTGTCTGACATGGGTTACGTACACAGAGATCTGGCTGCCAGGAATATCCTAATCAACAGCAACTTAGTCTGCAAGGTGTCAGACTTCGGCCTCTCAAGAGTCCTAGAAGATGACCCCGAAGCAGCATACACAACCAGGGTGAGTTATGAGGATACCGAAATGAGTGAGCTCAAGAAAAATGTATTCCCTGGCACATTTTGGTATTCATGCTTTCTAGCAAAGAGGTTTCTACAAATCCAGAGCCTCTAAACTGTGCATGAGGGTTTGGCCAGGTGTTACCAGTTAATCGTTATCAGATGAATTTTGCAAATGCCTGTCACTTTGTAGTTGGGATGGCCAAGTAAGGCAGAACGTAACGAGTAACTTTTAAGTTCATGTGGGGCCCCTGAGTCAAATAGCAAGCTCTGCAAAGGTGCCACACTCCCAGCTCTATTCTGTCCTCTTTGGTGAATACCAAAGGGAGGGAAGAGTAAGAGCAAGTGCTTTGCTTAGGCACCCATGCAGAGATGTAAGCCATGGTCTTCTGGACAGTTTGACACTTTTAAAACATTGGTAAGCGTGTAACGCCCATTGCAAATGGTGCACATTGCCCTCAATATTACCCTCAACCTGAGAAAGAGCTGCTCTAGCCTCAGTGCTCTGCCCCTTTCCATCCTTGAGCCATCCTTTCAGGGCATCAGCCCACCTGCCCAGTGCAAGGCCACATGGCCCCAGCGTTGCACAGAGCGGGTGGACAGGACCCATCCCCAGCACCACAGGCTTGGAGAGAGCCTCCAATATTCATGGCAGTGATTGGCACACCCGGACGTGTCCTAACAGCCTGTTTGTCCGAAGGTATTGTTTTACGGGCAGTGGGAGCTCTCTGGGTCACATTCCCAGTTCCTGCGGAGATCTGGGAAAGGCCTTTCAGCTCTTGGCAGTCACGGCCCCGCGACGGGGCTCGGCGCGCGGCT